AAACATGCGTCGAACCGGCTGTCTGGGTGTCGGGGCGAGAGAGCTGGTCTTCACTTCCAAGCCTTGGCTCCAAAGGGCCAGGGGTCGCAGTGGAGGGTGCACCCTTGCGGCCGGTAACCTCCCCGGCCCGGGGGCTGCCCGAGGCTGATGGGCTGTCCGGGAAGTCGTCCTCGCCGCTGCCGGGTCGCAGGGTCTGCAGGTGGAACTTCTTCCACAGGGGCACCTCTCTCTGGTGGGAACGGCACAGTCTGGCCACATTCGGAGGCGGCGGCGGCGGACGGTGACTTGGACGCAGGGTCCTGTTCGGGCCGAGGGGCCTCTGGAGGCCTGAGCCCGCAAGGGAGGAGGGAGCGGGTCAGCGTCGCGCAGAGGGTGGCGGGGCAGGGGAAAGGTGGCCTTCCAGGAATGCAGGGGGGGGCCCATTGCAGGGGGAGCTCGACCACAAAGAACCTTGCACAAGAAACCCAACCCTGAGACCCCAGGGCGTCCCGTGATTCTTGGTGTGGGAACGTCACGCTCTCCATCGCAAAACCATCGAACCCCAAGAAACCCAGGGCACCCTGGAGACAAGCAGGGTGTTCTTTGGTATGGGTTTCCGCTGTAGGAGCCCTCTCGCCATCTCAGGGAACCATCCTAGTGGGGGCACTCAAAGGAGGAGAGGAGGAGGAGCGGGGGAACCAGGAGGAGCGGGGGACAGGAGAGGGAGGAGGGGAAAGGGAGGAGAGGAAACACAGGAGAGGGGGAAGAGGCAAGGTGGGTGTGCTCGCGTCATATCTGACGTCCTGACCCTCCCTCCCATCCCTTACCGTTGCACTGATTTATCTCTGTCCGCGGACGCGTGTCATGGCGGGCCTGAAACTCGCAGGAAGATCCCATCGAGTTCTGTGTAATCGGGAGGAGGGGGCGGAGGAGGAGGAGGAGAGGAGCCAGGTGGATGAGGAGAGGAGCGGGGGAACCGAAGGGGCGCCTCTGCCTCCATCTGGTTTCTGGGCGTCGGCAGCCCGAACTGGCTCTGCATGTGCATCAGCTGCAAGCGGTTCCAGGCGGACTTGCCGCTCCGGAGCTCAGACACGTTCACAAAGGCGTCGTGCATCTCCACGAGCTGCTCCCGGAACTCCTGGAAGGTCGCCTGGCTGAGCGCGTGCTGGTCTCGGATGGCGTATTCCGCGGCGCGGCGCTTCGACTCCTTGAACTCCCGCAACCGCCAGACAATCTGCTCGGCCTCGTGGAAGCTGAACTGGTTGTCGCCACCGCTGTCCAGATCCTTCACGATGGACTTCGCCTTAAGTGCAAGGTCAAAGTTGTCCGTCTTCATGTCTGGGTTCAGCTCCGCCAGGAGCTGCATCATGCCCTCGTACTCCAGGACCCCCCTGCCATGGTCGTCCTCGCGGACCCACGCGGTAAATATCAAGGGGGCGATCGCCAACTGCATCTTCTCCCGCGCCTGCAGGATGAGCTTGCAGAAGTCCCGGTACTTGGCAGACACCTCCTCGTCCTGCCCGGGAAGCGCTGTCGCCAACGCGAGCTTCTCCGTGCGCGTTCGCGCCCGAATGCCGAAGTCTGCCAGGGCCTGGGTCAGGACCTCCCCGTCCGTGAGCAGGGGCCCGGACGGCGTGCCGCTTCGAGGGCTCCGCCCGCCCTGGCCGGCGTAGCGATTGAAGACGGACACGGCTCGGAGGGCATCCTCTTCGCTCAGGCCAGGAGCGTTGACGATCGCCCTCCGGCGCGAGTCCAACGCGCTGAGCCTCATCCCCCTGCTCAAGTTGCCCCTCAGGGCCCTCAGGGAAGAGCTGGTGGTGCACGAGGGGGCCTCCCTCTTAGCCTCCAGCCGGCCGATGAGCCTCTGGAAGGCCGAGCTGCGCCTCTTCGCCACTCCCGTCGGAGTCTCGGGCTCCTCCTGGTCGGCGCTGGTGTCCTCGATGGCCTCTGCGAGTCTGTGCAGCAGCCCCCCCTGGCGAGAAGGAACCACAGGGGAGGAGCGGCTCACGGGGGCAAACACATCCACCTGGCATCGGCGACGCACATCGCCGGCAGGCCCCCGATGGCGAAACCGCACGCTCGTGGGCGGGGTGGGCTTTTCGGGCCCCTGCGGCCGAGGTGCTGCCGTGAGGATCGCCAGTCCAGGAACGAATGGGCGCTTGAGGCCACGGCGAGCCTCGGCCACGCAGGCGGCTCCCCGACCGCAGCCCCGAGGAGCGGCCCGGGAACCGGAGCCCCTGCAGAATCCAGAGTGGTTCCCATATGTCAGCGCCCTGGCTGTGTCGGCGGTCGGCGGGCGATTGAGGAGACGATGCGCCCCCCCGCTGAGCGAAGGATTGCAAAAAAACCGAAGGATTGCAACGAAGGATTGCAACGAAGGATTGCAACGAAGGTTTTTTTTGCAATCCTTCGAAGGGTTTTTTTGCAATCCTGTGTTTTTTTGCAATCCATCCCCCCTAAGGCTGCCCCCGACCTGGGCCGCCGAAGCCGGAGGCCTTGCAGGCGCAGCCAGGGCCTCCGACTCGGCCGCTTTGCGCGGTGCCCACGGGCCGCCCGGGCCCATCATCGACCGGCGGGGCGGGGCCGCAGCCACCGACTGGCGGGGCGGGGCCGCAGGCACCGTTCGGCGGGGCGGGGCCGCCACCACCGTCCGGCGCTGCGCAGCAAGGCCGCTGCTGGCGGCCCCCTCCTGCGAGGCGGGCAAGGCCGCCACTGTCTGGCGCGACCCTGGTCGGCTGGCGGCCGCCTGGCGCGACGCGGGGCGGCTGCCGGCGGTCCCTTGGCGCGAGCAGGGCCTGCTGGGCGCCGCTACTCCGGCCGCTGGGCCCTCTCGGGCCGCGGGGCCGGGGCGCGCGGCGGCTGCCGAAGAGGGCGGGCGCCAGAAGTTGCCCTCCGACTCCCCCGGCTCGGTAGGAGGCCCCGGCTGCCGCTCCAGCAGCCGCGGGCTCCGCTGCGAGCTGATCTGGGCGGTGCCCGGCGGCAGCGCCTTGTGCCCCAGCGTCCGCGGGGGGCCCTGGGGGCCGTTCATGAGCAGGGGCGCGGCCCCTGGGTTCGAGGGTTGCCTCCCGACGGGCGGCGTGGTGCAGCGGAGCACGGGGAACACGGGGCGCGCGGCAGGGTTGGTCTCCATGCCTGTCTCTGCCCTTGCCCGCCAGAGCGCGTTGTCGCAGATGTTCTTGACCAGCGAAGGCGCCACTGGCCCACCCTGCCCTTGGGGCTTGCCGCGCGCATCCTGCCGCGGCACCACCGGCGGTGCTAAGAGGGGGCTCGGCGAGCGGGATCCCCTGGCAGGAGGAAGAGCACTTTGCACATGCACTTCTATCCTGGCCAGGCCCATGCTGGGCCCAGGATGGACGCAGACCCTGAGGTCTGACGTTTGCAACACATGGCAACATCTGAAAATCATGACCAGAGCCCAAGATCCCACATCATTTTTCGAGCCAAATAGATCTGCGAGGGTCCTGGGGGCCGAAACTGGGCGAACACGGCGCTTCGTAAAAAAATGCACCGCCACGATATCAGGGTGTACGCCCTCGATGCGCATGCACACAAACACAGACACAGACACAACCAGAAACATATACAAACACACACACATGCACCCACACACAACGCACACACAAGCACACGCGCACACTCGCTCACACGCACACAAGCACACACGCACGCGCGCACACACGCACACACGCGCACGCACGCACTCGAACACGAACACACGCACACACGCACACAAGCACACACGCACACACGCACAGACGCGCACACACCCACACCCACACACCCACACACCCACATACCCACATACACACACACACCCACACGTACACACACAGCGCACCCCACAGACCCACCCACAGACCCACCCACCCACCAACACAAACACACACACACACACACCAACCCACACCCACCCACCCCCACCCACACCAACCCACCCCCATCCACACCCACCCCCATCATCACCCACCCACACCCACATCCATCCTTACTTCTTATGACAAAGCACCCCAACCCCCCACCTAGCCGGCCAATAAAAACCCAGCAGTCCGAACTGTAAAAGAACACACTCAATTTGTTTCTCGCCAACATGTCGTCGAACTGCGAAAAATGTCGCAGGAATTCGGCAGAATGAACATCGTTTGGGTAAACCTGAGCGGGCGGTCGCGTCCTACCCATAAAAAAAGAATGCAAAGTCGACGTTTTTCTTGACAACGTGGACTTTCTTGTCGTCGACGCTGCGAAAAATGTAGCAATAATCAAACGGAATGAACGTCGCTTGGGTAACCCTAAGCGGGTGGTCGCGTCCTACCTCTCAGAAAACAATACAAAGCCAACGCTTTTCTCGACAACGTGGACTTTCTTGACGACGACGCTGCGAAAAAAAGGTCAGCAGGAATGGGACGCGGCGCGCACCGCGCGCGGACGCCTGGCCAACCCTACGCGGGACCCCCCGTCCTACTTGCCAAAAAGCAGCGCAACGTCGACGTTTTTCTTGCCAACATGTACTTTCTCCTCGTCGGCGCTGCGAATCGCGCAGCAGGAATGGGACGCGGCGCGCGTCGCGCGGGGACGCCTGCTCGTCAACATGGACTTTCTTGTCGTCGACGCTGCGGCCCGTCGGATTGAGGAGCTGGGCGGGCGGCGAATCATAATGCCTCAAGCAAATGCGGTTCGCCGCCGGCGCGCCCGTTGCCGTGTCCACGTAGGAGAGACCTTTGGCAACAGTGACCTTCGGCGGCGCACTTCGCGCGGTGGACAATTTGTCGCCGACGATGCAACATGAGAGGCTGGAGCGGGGCGCGGCGTACATCGCGCGCGGTCTTGTTTCTCGTCGACGTTGCTCAATACGCGGCAGGAATAGGACGCAGCTCGTGTCGCGCGCTGAACGTCTAGCCGCCCATGGTATAAGATGAACGACAGGCGTCGGACGCGACGCACTTGCTTCTTGTGTTGTGGGAGGGCGGGTGGCGTTCGAGCTGGCTAACTCGACCCACACCCACCCACCCACACACACACACACACCCATCAGCACCCACCCACACCCACCCGCACCCACCCACACTCACACACACCCACACCAACACCCATCCACCCCACACCCACCCACACCCACCAACACCCACCCACACCCACACCCACACCCTGACCACCCACCCACACACTCACACACGCAGACACACAGACACCCACACACACACAGACACACAGACACACGCACACACGGACACACAGACTCACAGACGCACAGACACGCAGACGCACATACACAGTCACACAGACACAAAGACGCACAGACACCCAGACGCACATGCGCGCACACGCACACACGCTAACGCACACGCACACGCATTCACACGCACACACACACACACGCACGCACACACTTACGCACACGCACACGCACACACACACACACCGATCTTGGGACCAGGATGGGCCTGGCACACACACACACACACACCGATCGTGACGCAGACGCAACAGACACAGCAGACGCAACAGACACAACAGACATAACAGACACAACACACACAACACACACAACACACAACACACACATACACCACACACCCACATCCACACCCACACCCACACACACACACACACCCACACCCACACCCACACACACCCACACGCACACACGCACACGCACACGCACACACACACACCGATCTTGGGGCCAGGATGGGCCTGGCCAGGACCGGTGCGTGTGTATGTGTGTGTGTGTGTGTGTGTGTATGTGCGTAGCTTTCGAAAGTCCAGGGCTCGCTATACACAGGTGTCTGTGGCCGAAACCTCCCCGAAGCCCGACACAACCCTCCCCGAAGGCTTCCCAGAGGCTTTCCGGAGGGCCCCAGAGCATGGTTTCCAAGAGGCTCTGTAAGCCACCCCCTGGGCTTGTTGAGCACAGCACCCGCCGCCCGACCTGAAGGGCGTGCCGCTGCGCGGCGTGAAGGGCGCGCTCGTGCGCGGCGTGAAGGGCGTGCTCGCGCGCGGAGTGGCCACGTGGAGCTCGTACCTCCGCCTGCGGCCGCCCTGTTGGCGGCCCTCGGCGTGCACGGCCTCGAGCCACGCGGCCGGCAGGCGCGCCGGCGCGCCGGGGCCCGCCCTCTTGGAGTGCTTGGCCCTCGCCGGGGGCAGGAGACATGTCCAGATCCACGGCCTCGCGGGCCCGGCGCCCCGGGGCCGCGACCCCACGGGTACGGTCGGGCTGCTGAGATAAGGAGCGCTGAGTAAGGAACGGAGCCCCTCTGTGGCCTGAAAAGAAGCCTGGGTGCACGAGGAGGGCTAGAGGAACAACCACGGAGGGACGTAAGGAACACCGAGCCCCTTCCGAATCCAAACTCTTCCTTATTTCAGCGTCTTGGCTGCACACGGGGCGCTTTGCCGCGGTTGCCCCGCGCGGAGCGCATCCGTGCGCGCACCCGCGGGGCCGCGCTCCGCGGAGCGCAGAGGGACCGCGAGGGTATGGACGTGGAGGTGCTCGCCGCTCGTGGCCTCGGCGGCTCCAGCAGCACCTCGAGCGCCTGTGCGGGGCAGCGATCGGGGGGGGGGAATGGCTCGGGGCGCGAAGCATTGAAGGGGGCCCTGGGACACGCAAGTGAATACACAAAGATCACAGGATTCCCGTATTATTTTCCTATGTTTTCTGGGTTTTTGTCTTCCCCCCACTTCCCATATTTTCCCATATTTTCGGGGGAATCGAAGATTATTTATGTCTGTGTTTTCCCCTCCTGAAGCATGCGACAGGCCCCCCTGCAGCGAGCCCGCACGTTCCTGGGCGGGGTGGGGCTGTCACACCCCCTATCGGCGATCACAATGGGCGGTTGGGGGTCTACGCGTTCCCCCCGGAGCCTGTCCCCGCGCGCGGTGGTTTTCGGGCCATCCCTTGGCTCTCCAGCGGCCGTTCGGGACGGTTCTGGCACTCCCGGAACGCTCTCGGTGATGCGCAGCTGCTGGGAAGCATCCCGAGGACAGAACAGCGCCGACAACCGACGAAACCGCTCGAATGCTTCGAGCCTCGAACCTCGAAGCCGAAGCTTCCCTGGGCCTCATCGTTGCCCCTGAGCCTCTCGGGGACGCGCCCCGGGCCAGCGCAAACAAAGGGTCAGCCACGGCCCTACCGCGGAGCCAGGCCGGCCGCTTGTAGTAGCTCCCAAACCCGGGGCAGCGGAGGGCAGGCAGGGCGAATCGGCCCCATGTGGTTCCCAGGCCCAGGTCAGCCAGAGGGGATTGGCTGCCCCCATGGGCGCTTACCCCCGTTACGGGAGCCCCGACACCTCCTGAGATCCGACGCGCCGAAACAATGCAACAACTCTTTGCGCCGCACCGCCGCTTGATGCGCGGCTTCAGGGGGCCGCGGGTGGGCCAAATCCAAACGCGCAGGCCAGTGCGTTTGGGGGCACCCCTGCGAGCCCACACCATAAAGGTCATTTTGGCGACGGGTCGCTCTTTGAGCCGACGAGCCTCCTGCACCAGCAGCTCGCCGACGCCTGGGCACGCGCCCACGGGGGACGCCATGGCGCCTGGGGCGCGCGGGGCCTCCGCGCCGCTGGTCTCCCGCGCCAGGCCCGCCCCCTCGAGGCGCCGCGGGCCCTCGGCGCCATGCCGCGAGCGGCAGGGGCTGCCGGGCGGTTCGAGCCAACGTGGTTGGAGGCCAGCTCGATGGGGTAGATGGGTAACCCCTAAGGGTCTTTGGAGGAGGAGGGGGGAGGATGAGGATGAGGAGGATGAGGAGGAGGAGGAGGAGGAGGAGAAGCAGGAGGAGGAGGAGGAGAAGGAGGAGAAGGAGGAGAGGATGAGGATGAGGATGAGGATGAGGATGAGGACGAGGATGATGATGATGATGATGATGATGATGATGATGATGATGATGATGATGATGATGAGGAGGAGGAGAGGAGGAGGAGCAGGAGGAGGAGCAGGAGAGGAGGATGAGGAGGAGGAGGAGGAGATGGAGGAGGAGGAGGAGGAGGAGGAGGAGGAGAGGAGGAGAAGCTGAAGGAAGAGGAGGAGGAGGAGGAGGAGGAGGAAGAGGAGGAGGAGGAGGAGGAGGGGGAGGAGGAGGAGGAGGAATGGGAATGCAAATCACCTCGAGCAAGAGTCCAAGCACGGACCCCTGCTGCACAGAGACGAGGGTCAGGGGCCAACCACTGGCTTAGCAGTCGACCCGAGGCCCAGTGAGCCTACCCTTCCTGGGTCCAGCCCACGGCCCACACGAGGCCCTCCGACCATGCAGGCCAGGCGCTTGGGCCTGGCTCAATTCCGCCACGGGCGTCTCACCCCGCGTCGCGCGCAGCAACCTCTGGACAATGCGGGCCCGCCTTTCATCGTCGGACTCAGGCGTCAGCGCCGAAGTGCTTCCCCCACCCCCATCCGACGACGACCTCGCGACCCCGCCCCCGTCCCCACCACACGGCCTCGCCTCCCCAGCGAGGAACCGTGGCGACGCGCCAGGAGCTCCGCTCCCGACCGCAGTCCTCCAGGCCCCTGGTTGGGAGGGGCCAGCGACAGGCGTGCCTGTACCTGCGGTACCTGCAGGCGACGGAGGCGCCTCAGGGTCGCCCCTCTTGCCCGCAGCTCGGAGCACCCTAGGCAGGACTGGCACAAGGGGCCTGGGGGCCGCCAGCCGACCCTGGGCCTTTCAGTCCCGCAGCACAGATGCTTCCAAGCGAGCTCGCCCACTGCTCAGCAGGACTGCTCGCAGCAGCGGTGCTCGCTTCCCCACCCAACGTCACCCCCCCGCCTCCGCCTCCCCGCCTATGAGGCGCGTCACGAGCTCCGCTTCTGACTGCCGCCCTCCGCGCTCTGGACTGGGAGTGGCCAGCATCAGGCGCACCCGCAGCAGCAGGCGTCTGAGGCGCGTCAGGGGCTCCCCCCTGCTAGCAACCCTCCGAGCATGAGGCGTGACGTTCGCCGAGCTACGGGGGCCTTCAGCTGACACTGGGCCCGTCGGCCCCGAAGGGGGCTGAGTGTCGGCCAAAAGCCCCCCCTGGGAGACGCAGGCGCTGGCCGTCGCGCCCCCCTCCCCCGCCAGGTCGCGGTAACCCGACGGCTTGACTCCAGAACTAGGACACTCGGCAGCCATGCGAGCCGCCTCAATCCTCGCAGCACGTGTGTCGCTGGACCTACTTGCCCACCGCACGGCAAGCTTGCTCGTAGCGTCAGTATCCGTTCCCCCCCCGACGGCTCACCGACAACCTTCCCGCCACCATCAGCGTTGCCAGTCAGGCCTCCAGCACTGTCAGGCTCCTCAATCTCCTCGTCGGGAGCCCTACTGCCCGCGAGGGCGGCAAGGACCTCCTTGGCTTCGAGGGTCTTGCTCTTCTTGGGGGTGCTGCCCCTTAGCCAGCGCGCGGAACACTCGCTTGCGACTCGTGGATAGCTCCTGCTGGTCAGGGCATGGGGCCGCAAAGGCTCTGCCCACCCTGTCCGACCCGTAGGCCCCACACCGCCGACACCACACCACCGTACCCGTGACGGTGACGTCGTGTCCTCCAGGCACGAGGATGCTTTGCCCCTCGAGGCCAGCCCACACGACCCCCCGACGATCCGCACCGCCCCCCCGCCCAGGACCCGAGCCCCCCGAGGCTCCCGCCCAAGAGATCCCCCCAGGCACCCCAGACGGGTCGGCGTTGGCGCGAGCCCCCTGGATTTTTGCTTGCAGGAACGCCACAGCAAAGGGGACGCATCTCTTGTCGGTACCTCCAGTCAGCTGTCTGCGGGCTTCTGCAGTCCTGGTCGAGCGTCGGCACCTTCTGCAGAACAACCTATTCCCAAGCTCCACAAGACCATGCTCGTGCAGCGCGAGAGTGAGCCTTGGTTGGGTCGGGTCCTTGGCCCTAGTATGGCCGCCGCTGCTTTCGGCCTCGCCCCGTTCGGCCCACAGTTCGGGCCTGCAGCTCCTCTGGACTGCCCAGGCGAGGTGGCGAGCATACACCTTGGCACCCGAAAGACAGTCTTTATACAACCTGCAATGGCCGTCAGGCAGCTTGACTGACCTGGCCCCAAGCTTGGCGAAAACATCCGCCCACCTATTCCGACGACCCAGAGGTAGGGCGGCGGGGGAGGACCTCCAGGCGCGGGGACGAGCACCTCCTCATCACTCATGTGGGACGGTACCCAAGCAAAACTGGGCGGCTCCCGCTGGAGGCTGGTGAGCTGCCGCCAGACGCTCGGGTAGGCAGCACTCGCCGCCGACAAACTCGCGCCCTCCTCCGCTTTCCACTGGCGCCCTTCATTCACAAACCCGAGCAGGTCGCTTATAATCAATCTCACTGTCGGCATGTGCTGAAGGGCCTTGAGCCCTGCAACTCTCTCCGCTTTGCCTACAGTCTGCTGCCCGCCTGCGAGACCTCCGCGCGCTGCTCTCACAGGCACTCCATTGGCGTCAATCATGACTGCAGCCGAGCCACACCGCCGCAGCTCAGGTACAGCCCCGTGGTATCCCGAGCCGTCAGTGAACACTCTCTCGCTCCATTCTTCACTCGGCGACGTCCAGTCGCCCCGGCAAAAACTCGGCGGGTCCTCTGGCGGCGGTGGCACATCGACTCTCGGCAACCTTGGGATGCCCACCCCGACCGCGAAGGAGTCCGTGTCCTGTCGCCCCTCACCGGCAGGTCCGTGCTCGAGCATCGCATCTCTAGCAGCAGCCAGCTGGGGGTCGAGGCCACACTCCTCTTCCTCGTCCAGCAGTCGCTGTGTCAGCGCTGGGCGCTCGAGGGACTCCATCCCATGCGGGCGCGCTCTGCAGCCCTGGTGCTCACATAATCCTTTCTTAAAGAGCCTGGCCCGCGGCCACCGGGAGTCAGCCCAAAGACTGCGAAGCGCTCCCGTCCTCCCCGCCCCAGTCACCGCCGCTCCCCGCCCCCCCGCACAAGCGCGCAGGCCGCTCGGCCACAGTGGCGGCGTCTTGGGGCAGGCACAGCGCCCCTCCTCCCTCCTCGCAATGCACGAGCAATTCGTGACGTCATGGTGTGCAGCGATCTGCCTCATCTGCCACCTCGGGATCCCCTGTCTCAGGAGGTCTCGAAAAAATCGCGGTGGGGTTGCCATCAACGAAATCACTGGCCCTTCATCTGGCCTGACCATCAGCGACGAGAACATGACCCAGCCGATGCGCCTGAACGACAAGATGACCACCTTCAGCGGACCTCTGGCCCCCGCCCACGTGAGCTTGTCGTCGCCAGCCTCCACCTTGTCCAGCGTGGCTCTCCATGCCCTCTCCAGTGCCCCCAAGCTGATCTCCTGGTGCCAGATCACCCTGGCGTACTGCATGACCGGCTCGACCGTGGCAGCGAAGATCGGGTCGTAGTGAGGGTTGCGCTGGCTCGCCAAGTATAGTGTGATGCTGCCTCCTCGCCCTTTGGCGCCCGCCAGTCTCGCCGCCTCCGAGCGCATCGCGCTCAGCTCACTCGCCGATACGCCTCCCACCGCAGCTCCATGTGCCGTGGAAGGCAGCAAGCCCGTCTGCCACAGGCATGAGGCCTTGGCACCAGCGGCCCTCCTCAAGGTCCTTGCCCTTCTCATCCTTGGCCTCAGCTTCTTGAGCCTGCTCTTCGCTACCGTCCTTCGCGCCTTCGTGCCGTTGAGGTCATGGCCGAGGTTCCTCATGTGCTGTTTGGGGCTGATCTTGACCTTCGAGGCGAAGGGCTTCGCCGCTGTCTGTCCTCGCCTCGACGACGCAACATGCCCCGACTTGCCCACCTGCAGCTCCAGCCCAACCTCCGCCGCCTCGTACTTGTACCTGAGCGCCGCTTCCCATAGCAGCACCCGCACGCCCCGCAGGTCCTGGCCCACCCGCTGGACCGAGGTGTCGTCCGCCAGCGTCCTGGGGATAACGTCGAACTTGGCGAGCCTCTTGAGCGCCCGTGCCGTGGCCACCATCAGCACTGCCATCGAGTTTGAGCAGCCCGCCAGGATGCCCTGGTGCGCCGTGTAGCCCGTCGACAACGAGCCGAAAGCCTTGAGCCTCCTCGGCGCGTGGTGGTACTTCAGGATCGACCACATGCGGCGAGGCGGGTGCCCCATGCATCTGGCTTCGCCTAGCACCCGCTCGGCGATCAAGCTGTCGAGCGCCTTCCACGCGTCCAGTAGAACCGTCACGCTGTGGCCGCCATTGAGGCTAGTGACCTCCGCCATCAGGTTCTGGTGAAACGCAGCCGCTGAAGAAGTCCTGCCCCCTCCTCCCGTGCCCCGCAAGTTGGGCGCAGCCGCCTGGGCCATCCAGCTCCGCGAAATCGCCGACCTCGCCTTGGCCCACAGCCGCGTCGCAGAGTTCACCAGCGCAATGAGCCTGCCCCCCCCGCTCTCCTTGGGCAGGCGGACCAGCACCGTGAAGAGCCTGCTGGTCGGCCACTCGCCCATCTTCTCACACTGGCTGAACAGCGCCGACAGCACATCCAGGCCCATGTCGCTGAGGTGTGAGATCGCCCGCGGCGCAATCCCCGTCTGGCCGACGGCAGTCCTTTCCTTGAACTTCCCCGCTGCTTGCCGTATATGTGCAACACTCATCCTCGGCA